CAGGTGCAATCAAGTGAAAGAAGATCAAACATTTGCAGGAATCATTGGAAGAATTTGGAGGGATTTCATCCAGCGTTCAAGTCACTCCCACACGCTCGTCTTAACCCTCTAGGCTATTTGCTTCTGTCTTGGCCGGAAGTCGAACCCGGGCCCTTAGGATTGCGTCTCCCGAATGCTGGCCACGTGGCGTCCAGGCCAGTGAACAGTGTATGTATTGGTGCGTGAATGTGAGTGCGTATGTGCAAGTGTGAGTGTGCATGTGCACGTGTGAGTACGTATGTGAACGTGTGAGTGTGTTCAGGGGAGCTGTGTGCTCCCCTGAACACCCCACAACACTCACTGCTGTGAGAGGCGAGGGGGCCCACACCACTCCTGTGAGAGGCGAGGGGGCCCCACACCACTCTTGTGAGAGGGGAGGGGGGCCCACACCACTCCTGTGAGAGGCGAGAGGGCCCCACACCACTCCTGTGAGAGGCGAGGGGACCACACACCATTTCTGTGAGAGGCAAGGGGACCCCACACCATTCCTGTGAGAGACGAGGGGGCCCACACCACTCCTGTGAGAGGCGAGGGGGCCCCACACCACTCCTGTGAGAGGCGAGGGGCCCCACACCACTCCTGTGAGAGGCGAGGGGCCCACGCGACACCTGTGAGAGGCGAGGGGCCCACGCGACACCTGTGAGAGGCGAGGGGCCTCACACCACACCTGTGAGAGTCGAGGGGGCCCACACCACACCTGTGAGAGGCGAGGGGCCCCACACCACTCCTGTGAGAGGCGAGGGGGGGGGGGCCCACACCACACCTGTGAGAGGCGAGGGGGCCCACACCACTCCTGTGAGAGGCGAGGGGGCCCACAACACACCTGCGAGAGGTCCCACACCACACCTGTGAGAGGCGAGGGGGCCCACACCACACCTGTGAGAGGCGAGGGGGCCCACACCACACCTGTGAGAGGCGAGGGGGCCCACACCACACCTGTTAGAGGCGAGGGGGCCCACACCACTCCTGTGAGAGGCGAGGGGGCCCAACCACACCTGGTGAGAGGCGAGGGGGGCCCCACATAACACCTGTGAGAGGCGAGGGGCCACACACCACACCTGTGAGAGGCGAGGGGCCCCACACCACACCTGTAAGAGGCGAGGGGGCCCACACCACTCCTGTGAGAGGCGAGGGGGCCCACACCACACCTGTGAGAGGCGAGGGGGGGCTCCACATAACACCTGTGAGAGGCGAGGGGGCCCACACCACACCTGTGAAGAGGCGAGGGGCCCCCACACCACACCTGTGAGAGGCGAGGGGGGGGCCCCACATAACACCTGTGAGAGGCGAGGGGGCCCACACCACACCTGTGAGAGGCGAGGGGGCCCCACATAACACCTGTGAGAGGCGAGGGGGCCCACACCACACCTGTGACAGGCGAGGGGGCCCACACCACACCAGTGAGAGGCGAGGGGGCCACACCACACCTGTGAGAGGCGAGGGGGGGCCCCACACCACACCTGTGAGAGGCGAGGGGGCCCACACCACTCCTGTGAGAGACGAGGGGGCCCACACCACTCCTGTGAGAGGCGAGGGGCCCAAACCACACCAGTGAGAGGCGAGGGGGCCCACACCACTCCTGTGAGAGGCGAGGGGGGCCCACACCACACCTGTGAGAGGCGAGGGGCGAGGGGCCCCACACCACTCCTGTGAGAGGCGAGGGAGCCCCACACCACACCTGTGAGAGACGAGGGGGCCCACACCACTCCTGTGAGAGGCGAGGGGCCCAAACCACACCAGTGAGAGGCGAGGGGGCCCACACCACTCCTGTGAGAGGCGACGGGGCCCTGATGGCCACTTGGGGAACATGTAAATAAAATAAATCTGACTTAAACTTTAGCCCCCCCTGACGGCGCTTCCTGTTTTCGCCTCTATTTCTTTCTCTTTTTGTCCCTATTTCACCTGCTTTTCTTCCCCATTAAGCCTTCTGCAGCGTCCTTTTTTCTTGTTAAGTCTGAGCTGTGGTATACTGGCTTCCCTCTCGCCCCTCCACCCCACGGTCTTGCCTCATATGTACCTGGATTGTAACTGCTTGATGGGGTTCTGGGAGTTCTTCTACTCCCCAAGCCCGGCCCGAGGCCAGGTTTGACTTGTGACAGCTTGGTCCACCAGGCTGTTGCTCGGAGCGGCCACCAGGCCGCTCCGAGCAACGGTGTGTGTGTGTGTTGGGAGTCAACATCTTCTGTGCTGAACGGTGAGCTGAGTTTCCTGCAACACTTCATTTGGTCACATTGCTCTCTACACCATTTTCAACACCAACATCATCTTCATCATCCTCATCATCATCTTCATCATCCTCATCATCATTATGATCTTCATCAACATCTGCGTCACGTTCTTCGGAGAAATATAAAAATATATATGGAAAAGGAAGTGCCCCCAAAATGGGCTTTTGTGGAGCGCGAGAGTCGCTGCAAAAATGTTTGGGTCGAAATGCTGTGTTTCCGCGCTGCTGGTGATTAATACCAGCGTGTGTGTGTGTGTGTGCGTGTGTGTGTCTGTGTGTGTGTGTGTACTCACCTATTTGTGCTTGCGGGGGTTGAGCTTTGGCTCTTGTGTGTGTATGTGTGTGTGTTTGTGTGTGTGTTTGTGTGTGTGTGTGTGCGTGTGTGTGTGTGTGTTTGTGTGTTTGTGTGTGTGTGTGTGTGTGTGTGTGTGTGTGTGTGTGTGTGTGTGTGTGTGTGTGCGTGTGTGTGTGTGTGTGTGTGTGTGTGTGTGTGTGTGTGTGTGTGTGTGTGTGTGTGTGTGTGTGTGTGTGTGTGTGTGTGTGTACTCACGTAGTTGTGCTTGCACGCGTTGAGCTCTGACTCTTTGGTCCCGCCTCTCAACTGTCAATCAACTGGTGTTCAGATTCCTGAGCCTACTGGGCTCTATCATATCTACATTTGAAACTGTGTATGGAGTCAGCCTCCACCACATCACTGCATAATGTATTCCATCTGTTAACTAGAAACAATGAAAAACTGAAAAAGTTCTTTCTAGCGTCCCTGTGGCTCATCTGGGTTCTCAGTTTCCCCTGTGTCCCCTTGTTAGCGTACCACCCGCGTTAAACAGTTTATCTTTATCTACCCTGTCAATTCCTCTGAGAATTTTGTAGGTAGTGATCATGTCTTCCCTTACACAGTGGAGGTGAGGTGACTTCCCTTACTCTTCTGTCTTCCAGTGTCGTGAAGTACATTTCCCGCAGCCTGTCCTCGTAACTCATGCCTCTTAGTTCTGGGACTAGCCTAGTGGCATACCTCTGAACTTTTTCCAGCTTCTTCTTGTGCTTGACAAGGTACAGGCGCGATGCTGGGGCCGCATACTCCAGGATTGGTCTTACATATGTGGTATACAAGGTTTTGAATGATTCAATGCACAGGTACCTGAAGGTAGTTCTGATGTTAGACAGCCTCGCCCTACCAGTTACTCCTGCCTGTTTCTCCAGCTTATGCACCAGCTTTTTAAGAGGTACTGTGTCAAAGGCTTTCCGACAGTCCAAAAAATGCAGTCCGCCCATCGTTCTCTTTCTTGTTTAATCTTTGTCACCTGATCGTAGAATTCTATTAAGCCTGTAAGGCAAGATTTACCCTCCCTGAACCCATGTTGATGGGTTGTCACGAAGTCTCTTCTCTCCAGATGTGTTACTAGGTTTTTTCTCACAATCTTCTCCATCATCTTGCATGGTATATAAATCAAGGACACTGGCCTGTAGTTCAGTGCCTCTTGCCTGTCGCCCTTTTTGTATATTGGGACTACATTAGCCGTCTTCCATATTTCTGGTAGGTCTCCCGTTTCCAGTGACCTACTATACACTATGGAGAGTGGCAAACAAAGGGCTCCTGCACACTCTTTCAATACCCATGGTGAGATTCCGTCCGGCCCAACAGCCTTTCTCACGTCCAGCTCCAATAGGTGCCTCTTGACCTCATCTCTTGTAATTTCGAACCCTTCCAGGGCCGCCTGGTTTGCTGCCACCTCTCCTAGCGCCGTGACCTCTCCTTGTTCTATTGTGAAGACCTCCTGGAACCTCTTGTTGAGTTCTTCACACACCTCTTTGTCATTCTCTGTGTACCTGTTCTCACCCGTTCTAAGTTTCATCACCTGTTCTTTCACTGTTGTCTTCCTCCTGATGTGACTGTGTTATAATAAGTTATGAGTGTTCCTCATAACTCATGCCTCTTAGTTCTGGAACTAGCCTAGTGGCATACCTCTGAACTTTTTCCAGCTTCGTCTTGTGCTTGACAAGGTACGGGCGCCATTCTGGGGCCGCATACTCTAGGATAAGCCTTACATATGTGGTATACAAGGTTCTGAAGGATTCCTTACACAGGTTTCTGAAAGCAGTTCTGATGTTAGCCAGCCCCGCATACGCCACCGATATTATTACTTTGATGTGGGCTTCAGGAGACAGGTTTGGCGTGATATCAACTCCAAGATCTTTCTCTCTGTCGGTTTCATGAAGGACTTCATTTCCTATTCGGTATCCAGTGTCGGCCCTCCTATTTCCTCCACCTAGTTTCATTACTTTACATTTTCTTGGGTTGAACTTTAGTAGCCATTTGTTGGACCATTCCTTCGGTTTGTCTACGTCATCGTGTAGCCTCCTACTATCTTCCTCTGGTTTAATCCTTCTCCGAGCATTGACTCATGGATCCTGTGTGTGTGAGTGTGTGTGTGTGTGTGTGTGTGTGTGTGTGTGTGTGTGTGTGTGTGTGTGTGTGTGTGTGTGTGTGTGTGTGTACCCACCCAGTTGTACTTGCGGGGGTTGAGCTCTGCTCTTTCGGCCCGCCAATCAACTGTCAACCAATCAACTGTTACTGACAACTTTTTTTTCCACACACACGCACACCACGGTCAACGAGTTTAGAGCGCTGTCCATTCAGCCACCAACCACCCCGCGTGTGAGTGTGTGTGTGTGTGTTTTTCTCATAGTTTTGCTTGCAGGGGGGGGGGGTGACAAATGGAATCTGAGAACCGCTATGAGCCGCCACAGAAACATAAAGAAACAATCACATAAAGAATTTATCATTGTCAGAGCAGTTAAGAACAGGAACATGGGCAGGAGTGGTGGAGCCAGACCCCGTACACCAGCCTTAAAGTTTCGACACAGCCAGATAGACTCTGCAACTATTATGGAAACGTTAGGCGGGAAGCAGGCCAAGGTCAGGCGGGAAGCAGGCCAAGGTCAGGCGGGAAACAGGCCAAGGTCAGGCGGGAAGCAGGTCAAGGTCAGGCGGGAAGCAGGTCAAGGTCAGGCGGGAAGCAGGTCAAGGTCAGGCGGGAAGCAGGTCAAGGTCAGGCGGGAAGCAGGCCAAGGTCAGGCGGGAAGCAGGCCAAGGTCAGGCGGGAAGCAGGCCAAGGTCAGGCGGGAAACAGGCCAAGGTCAGGCGGGAAGCAGGTCAAGGTCAGGCGGGAAGCAGGCTAAGGTCAGGCGGGAAGCAGGCCAAGGTCAGGCGGGAAACAGGCCAAGGTCAGGCGGGAAGCAGGTCAAGGTCAGGCGGGAAGCAGGCAAAGGTCAGGCGGGAAGCAGGTCAAGGTCAGGCGGGAAGCAGGTCAAGGTCAGGCGGGAAGCAGGCAAAGGTCAGGCGGGAAGCAGGCCAAGGTCAGGCGGGAAGCAGGCTAAGGTCAGGCGGGAAGCAGGCCAAGGTCAGGCGGGAAGCAGGCCAAGGTCAGGCGGGAAGCAGGCCAAGGTCAGGCGGGAAGCAGGCCAAGGTCAGGCGGGAAGCAGGCCAAGGTCAGGCGGGAAGCAGGCCAAGGTCAGGCGGGAAGCAGGCCAAGGTCAGGCGGGAAGCAGGCCAAGGTCAGGCGGGAAGCAGGCCAAGGTCAGGCGGGAAGGAGGTCATCTCCCAGCGAGGTGTTAAGTAAAGAGCCAAAGTGTATTCATACACGTTATGGCTTTTATCGAGGAAATTAAGAGTTGAGAGATGAGTGCCAAGAGTCGTGGCTCGTCCCTCGCTAATACAGCCAGGTGATTTGGGTCGAGCACCGGCTCCTAGACCCCATAGTTATGGTGCCACACAATGACTCTGTTTACACGTTTTTCTCGTTGTATTTGCATATGAAGCTGTGTCGTGAGGGAGCTTCAGAGTCACGGCAACAGGAAATATACCTGGAAGTACCCAAACACAGGTCAGAGTTCTTCAGATAATGTAAGGAAAAATTGTTCACTCATCACATGACAAAGTCAACGAGAAACGCAAATTATCTTGGTTTCATCTTCACGAACAACGAGAAAACAATCAGGGACATTACAATCAGAGTTACAACACACTCAGATCACATACTCATTGAATTCCAATACCTGTAATTCTCCACCAAAGACATAACAGCTGAAAGGGTTGTTAAGTAAATACATTTGCAACAGTAAAAGTATTGACCGAGAGTCACTACACATGACACTAAGGAACTTGCAGGGGGAAGCTGCCTGAAGTACCCCCCCCCCCTGTACAAGGAGTACAACCCCCGTACAAGGAGTACAACCCCCGATACAAGGAGTACAACCCCCCCCGTACAAGGAGTACAACCCCCCGTACAAGGAGTATAATCCCCTCGTACAAGGAGTACAACCCCCCCCCCCCCCCGTACAAGGAGTACAACCCCCCGCCGTACAAGGAGTACAACCCCCCGTACAAGGAGTATAATCCCCTCGTACAAGTACAACCCCCGTACAAGAGTACAACCCCCCCGTACAAGGAGTACAACCCCCGATACAAGGAGTATAACCCCCCCGTACAAGGAGTACAACCCCACAACCCCCCGTACAAGGAGTATAATCCCCTCGTACAAGGAGTACAACCCCCCCCCGTACAAGGAGTACAACCCCCCCCCGTACAAGGAGTACAACCCCCCGTACAAGGAGTACAACCCCCCCCGTACAAGGAGTACAACCCCCCCCCCGTACAAGGAGTACAACCCCCCCCGTACAAGGAGTACAACCCCCCGTACAAGGAGTACAAACCCCCCCCCCCCCCCCGTACAAGGAGTACAACCCCCCCCGTACAAGGAGTACAACCCCCCCCCCGTACAAGGAGTACAACCCCCCCCCAAGGAGTACAACCCCCCCGTACAAGGAGTACAACCCCCCCCCCCGTACAAGGAGTACAACCCCCCCCCCGTACAAGGAGTACAACCCCCCCCCCCGTACAAGGAGTACAACCCCCAGTACAAGGAGTACAACCCCCAGTACAAGGAGTACAACCCCCCCCAGTACAAGGAGTACAACCCCCAGTACAAGGAGTACAACCCCCCCCAGTACAAGGAGTACAACCCCCAGTACAAGGAGTACAACCCCCCGTACAAGGAGTACAACCCCCCCCCCCCCCCCGTACAAGGAGTACAACCCCCCCACGTACAAGGAGTACAACCCCCCCCCCGTACAAGGAGTACAACCCTCCCCCGTACAAGGAGTACAACCCCCCCCCCGCCGTACAAGGAGTACAACCCCCAGTACAAGGAGTACAACCCCCCCGTACAAGGAGTACAACCCCCAGTACAAGGAGTACAACCCCCAGTACAAGGAGTACAACCCCCAGTACAAGGAGTACAACCCCCGTACAAGGAGTACAACCCCCCGTACAAGGAGTACAACCCCCCCCCCGTACAAGGAGTACAACCCCCCCCCCCCGTACAAGGAGTACAACCCCCAGTACAAGGAGTACAACCCCCGTACAAGGAGTACAACCCCCGTACAAGGAGTACAACCCCCCCCCGTACAAGGAGTACAACCCCCAGTACAAGGTACAACCCCCAGTACAAGGAGTACAACCCCCGTACAAGGAGTACAACCCCCGTACAAGGAGTACAACCCCCCCCCCGTACAAGGAGTACAACCCCCAGTACAAGAGTACAACCCCCGTACAAGGAGTACAACCCCCAGTACAAGGAGTACAACCCCCCCCCCGTACAAGGAGTACAACCCCCAGTACAAGGAGTACAACCCCCAGTACAAGGAGTACAACCCCCCCCCCCCGTACAAGGAGTACAACCCCCAGTACAAGGAGTACAGTACAAGGAGTACAACCCCCAGTACAAGGAGTACAACCCCCCAAGGAGTACAACCCCCCCCCGTACAAGGAGTACAACCCCCAGTACAAGGAGTACAACCCCCCCCCCCGTACAAGGAGTAGTACAAGGAGTACAACCCCCCCCCCCCCCGTACAAGGAGTACAACCCCCAGTACAAGGAGTACAACCCCCCCCCCCCCCTGTACAAGGAGTACAACCCCCCCCCGTACAAGGAGTACAACCCCCCCCCCCCGTACAAGGAGTACAACCCCCCCCCAGTACAAGGAGTACAACCCCCCCCCCCAAGGAGTACAACCCCCCACCCAGTACAAGGAGTACAACCCCCCCCCCAGTACAAGGAGTACAACCCCCCCCGTACAAGTACAAGGAGTACAACCCCCCCCCCCCGTACAAGGAGTACAACCCCGCCCCAGTACAAGGAGTACAACCCCCCCCCGTACAAGGAGTACAACCCCCCCCCAGTACAAGGAGTACAACCCCCACCCAGTACAAGAGTACAACCCCCCCCCCAGTACAAGGAGTACAACCCCCCCCCCAGTACAAGGAGTACAACCCCCGTACAAGGAGTACAACCCCCCGTACAAGGAGTACAACCCCCCCCCCAAGTACAAGGGAGTACAACCCCCCCCCAGTACAAGGAGTACAACCCCCCCCCCCCCCCGTACAAGGAGTACAACCCCCCCCCCAGTACAAGGAGTACAACCCCCCCCCAGTACAAGGAGTACAACCCCCCCCCCAGTACAAGGAGTACAACCCCCCCCCCCGTACAAGGAGTACAACCCCCCCCAGTACAAGGAGTACAACCCCCCCCCCAGTACAAGGAGTACAACCCCCCCCCAGTACAAGGAGTACAACCCCCCCAGTACAAGGAGTACAACCCCCCCCCCAGTACAAGGAGTACAACCCCCCCCCCCAGTACAAGGAGTACAACCCCCCCCCAGTACAAGGAGTACAACCCCCCCCCCAGTACAAGGAGTACAACCCCCCCCCCCCCCAGTACAAGGAGTACAACCCCCCCCCAGTACAAGGAGTACAACCCCCCCCCAGTACAAGGAGTACAACCCCCCCAGTACAAGGAGTACAACCCCCCAGTACAAGGAGTACAACCCCCCCCCAGTACAAGGAGTACAACCCCCCCCAGTACAAGGAGTACAACCCCCCCCCAGTACAAGGAGTACAACCCCCCCCCAGTACAAGGAGTACAACCCCCCCCCCCCAGTACAAGGAGTACAACCCCCCCCCAGTACAAGGAGTACAACCCCCCCCCAGTACAAGGAGTACAACCCCCCCCAGTACAAGGAGTACAACCCCCCCCCCAGTACAAGGAGTACAACCCCCCCCCGTACAAGGAGTACAACCCCCCCCCCAGTACAAGGAGTACAACCCCCCCCCAGTACAAGGAGTACAACCCCCCCCCCGTACAAGGAGTACAACCCCCCCCCCAGTACAAGGAGTACAACCCCCCCCCCCAGTACAAGGAGTACAACCCCCCCCCCCAGTACAAGGAGTACAACCCCCCCCCCAGTACAAGGAGTACAACCCCCCCCCCAGTACAAGGAGTACAACCCCCCGTACAAGGAGTACAACCCCCCCCCCCCAGTACAAGGAGTACAACCCCCCCCCGTACAAGGAGTACAACCCCCCAGTACAAGGAGTACAACCCCCCAGTACAAGGAGTACAACCCCCCAGTACAAGGAGTACAACCCCCCAGTACAAGGAGTACAACAACTGGCTGCCGAACCATACATAGTCCGCTGGAAATGTTTTCCCTTTGTTGAAAATAACAACACACGACCGACTTCAGAGAACATAAAAGGCACCACTAAAGAAGAACAATAATAAAGTAAATGTTCACACAATAACATACCTTCAATTATTTTTCAAGAGATTAAAGAAACAGAACAGAAAGTAAAGTTTTCTTTCTAGACTGAATATTAGGAAATGGAACATGAAGCCATAGACTAGATAAACAATTTCTAGATACATTTTCAAAAACGCAAATACAAGTTCAAACAACCAAACCCAACAGTATTGGAGCTTACAAGAGAAAGTTCATACACAGAGAACGACAAAGACATTGGTGAAGGGAATGGCACAGACATTGGTGAAGATGACAGATATATTGGTGAAAATCCGAATGAAGAGTATGAAGCAATGTTTAGTACAGGTCAAGCGGGAAACAGGTCAAGGTCAGGCGGAGAGCAGGCCAAGGTCAGGCGGGAAGCAGGTCAAGGTCAGGCAGGAAGCAGGTCAAGGTCAGGCAGGAAGCAGGTCAAGGTCAGGCGTGAAGCAGGTCAAGGTCAGGCGTGAAGCGGGTCAAGGTCAGGCGGGAAGCAGACCAAGATCAGGAGGGAAACAGGTCAAGGTCAGGCGTGAAGCGGGTCAAGGTCAGGCGGGAAGCAGACCAAGATCAGGAGGGAAACAGGTCAAGGTCAGGCGGGAAGCAGGAAGCAGGTCAAGGTCAGGCGAGGTTGACAGACCAAGAAAGTGATAACCAAACGCCCTTTCTATAGTCTCAGTCTTGCAGACTTTTTCAAAACATGTCCAGTCTTGGTAAATATTATCTTAGAGAATATTCCCAGTCTTGAGAATTATTCCTAGTCTTGGAAGATATTCCCAGTCCTGAGAAATATTCCTAGTCTTGGGACATATTCTCTTATCTAAATTGTAACTGACTTCCTGTGGTTACGATGCGTTTGCCATTTAGGGATCATTATAGTGATGGAGGGGGAGGAGGAGGGCGAGCCTGTGCCGCGGGGACACCTCACTGGTGTTTGACCTTCGTGTGGGCCGCCGGCCCCTCTCTCTAGCGGCTCTCTGGCCGTAAAGGCGTGAGCGGCCCTCATGTTGAACGCTACTTGGCGTTCACAGTGTCCTCTTTTGTGGAACATAATGACTCCCGTTAATCAAGCTCCACATTTCTTGATCATCACTATAGCGTGAGTAATGTAGGATCACAGGAGTAATTGTGTGGTCGGAAGAATAATACCAATTAAAACAACATTGGAATTGGAAGCGAATCATTGAATATGTTTTAGTCATCTTTGTAAACTACTGAATGGTTTCACGAGTCCATCCATGCTCAGGTCTGGCTGCTGCTGATCTCTCTTGGTTCATAACCTTACTGAAGCCTAGATAAGGTTGGTCCATCCTTACATAGAATCTTTCCGAAGCCTTGATTATGCTTGTTTTGCCTTATATAGAACCTTACTGAAACCTAGATAGTGCTGGCGCAACCTATCAAGTAGTTGGATTCGATAGTACTTCTGTTCCTCCATGCCTGGCTAGGGACACTTGATCTGAAAGGCTTGTGTCCCGGTTACATTTCTTACATTTAACGGATGTGTAATGACCCTCGGCGCTCAGGTATCTTGTATACTCCTATACCTGTCTTTATATACTCTGGTCTCTAGCACAAGGTCAGGTGTCCGGGCTGGCCACGACTCCTCACCACCCTCCCAGAAGGCAGAACTAATATTGCTGCAACAAAAGTAAACATCTTCAAGAAAAACTTTAGACGCGTTCCTGCAAGCAGTGCAAAACTACGCGGGTTGTAGTGGATAATGTGGGCCTGCGGGCCGCTCCAAGCAACAGCCTGTTGGGCCAATTTATCGCAAGTCATGCCTGGCCCTGGGCTCGGGGAGTAAAAGAACTCTGAGAACCTGCTCCAGGTATGACCCTGGCACACCCCCGCTACACATACACTCGCTAATATGAGAAACACTTCCACTTAACCTTACGAGGAAAACACTAGAAGATATTCCCTTGTATTTGGAGGCCGTCAAGTCACTCAGCATAATTTTAATCGACTTGATAATGGTTAGATAAGACGGACCGAAACCTCGTCTCTCCATTTTCTGACGTGTGGTTTGGTCTTCAGCGACGTTGTGACTCGTCGTCTTCATAACTTTAACCCTTGTAGCTTAGTTAATTTAGGACCAAAGGGGGTGCTCAGTGTTCCACGGAGAGCGAAGAGAGATTATTCATTATTTACTCCACTTGACATAAATATAATATTCAGAGCAAGTTCAAAGGGACAAATAAAACTAGGAACATTGCCTCCATAATTAATAAATGCGATTTAATATCACAATATTTATTTGGTAAAGTCTAATCATTATCATTCCTACCTCAGACAATTTATCATGGTTATCTTGAGGTTATCTTGATATGATTTCGGGGCTTAGCGTCCCCGCGGCCCGGTCCTCGACCAGGCCTATTTTTGCTAAACCCCTCCCCCCCAGGAGGCAGCCCGTAGCAACTATCTCCCAGGTACCTATTTACTGCTTGGTGAACAGGAGCATCTGTGTGAAAGAATCTTTGCCCATTTGTTTCCACCTCTAACGGGGATCGAACACGGAACCTTAGGACTACGAATCCCGAGCGCTGTCCACTCAGGTGTCAGGCCCCCTGTCTGGTAATGATAATTGGAACACCGGAATAAAGTTCTCACTTTGAGGCTAACCCAGCCTCCTGAAATGTTACTTATATTTACTTATAGTTATATTGTAATTTAAAAGTTACTTATAGTAACATTTTGGTCGAAAGTTCCAATATTTAGTGATGGACCGCCAGTATACCACTTTTTGTACTATATATTTAATAACATCAAGAAATATAAAGCTGAAAAGCCAACTTAAATATTACGAGGCATAGAATAGCACATATATGGACTATATTAGACCTAAAATAGCATGAATTAGACTTGAGATTGCTAGGGAAGGTTAGTTGATGCCAAAATTCATGTTCCATTATGTGTTGACATTTTTAAAACCTTATCAATATCTCATTTATTATACCCATTCGGGTTGTCCAAATTCTATAATACAAAAGTTAATCTTCTGCTGCTCCATTACAACATATGGAAACGTTCGACAAATAGTTACTATATGAGTACAATCATTTCAGAGGGCTGGGCTCCAAGAATCCTAGAACCAATCACAAACTGGGTAATTATATACCTCAGGCTTCTGTCCACTGAGAGTTTAGGTCTAAGCTGGTTGGCGTGTGTATGTAGGTCGGTATGTGATCGTGACATGCAGTTCTCTCTTAAATTTTCGTGACCCCCGACCAGCCTATGTCAGCCCCGTAACCCAGACCATTTCCCCTGCAAAGTTGGGTGTAGATTGTGCAAGTGTCTGTCCTCCAACCTTGAACAGACAGGCAAACATATATTCTCTAGTATGTATACAGATAAGGGTGGGGGGATACCTGGCAATGCCTTTGTCGTCTGTATGTCTGTTTTCCCTTTCTCTATCTATATCTGTCTCTCTGTGTATATCTATCTCTTTCAACCTTTCAATCCCCTCTCTACCTTTCTCTCTATCTCAATCTTCATCTCTCTATATATCTATATCTCTCTTTATCTTTACCTCTATCTCTCTGTCTTGACCCCATCATTTCTCTTTCCCTCCCTCCCTCTCATCTTCTCGCTGCCTTCCCCCCCCCCCCCCTCTTCCCTCGCCCTACATCATCACTACATTCTACCTTCACTGTATATACTATCTTCGTCACTATAACAATCTTCGCACCAGAAGTCACCTTCATCTCGAGGTTGGTATCGTTTGCTATGAAGCTACGATTTGTTTTTAGTCAATTTCTGATATGAGGGTGAGAAAGAGTTGTGTTGTTAAGGACAGTGTCTTGAGGTACAGAGCATTTCACTGTGCTCGAACTTAAACTTTGCCTTGTTTACTTACTCCTTTTGGCCTTGATTGTCAGTAAACTGAATATCAATGGCCCCATTTTACCTGTTAATCATTTGAACCGAAGTCCGTGTATACAGTAAATGCCTTTAGGTTTTGCTATAATGTTTTAGTTACCACACACCAAGAACAGAACACATCATTCAGGTATCACGCACGACCAGTAGACGACCTCAGTCATATACCACACACACCATCAACACAAACGAAACAGTCAGGAATCATAACTAAAGCAGTGTTGCCCTTAAGACAAAAATATTATAAAGAGGGAGAGGGAAAGGTAGAGAGGAAGAGTAACATTGTTGATGCAAAAGAGCTGAACAGTCAAGGAGCTGTCACTACCAGGCTGTGATGGACTCTCCTGGCACCATGATATTTTAAGGATCTAAGATAATAGGAGCAGTGATATAGAATCCTTCACTAAACGGCAGAAGGAAGCAGCAATGTGAAACTTCTTAAGCAAACATGCAATTTTGTCCACAAGAATGAGAGGTAATAATGAGCCAGCAATACTCGACCTGACACCCACAGTGAATGCGTCAGTCATAAAGGAAGTCAGGTTCGAACCCCGCTTTTGGAATAAGCGATCATTGTGTAATGACATTTGCTTATCACCTGGAGGTAAGGGTGCAGTGTTGAAGGAAAAGGCCAGGAGGAACTAGACAGGAAAGCATGAGAAAATGAGATTTTCTGTCAAGAATACCATGGGAAAATCGAACTCAGAGGGAATTCTGTCCAGGAAAATAATGGACGTTTCGAATGAGAAAAGGGGCAGGTGCCAAATTTGTCCCTGTCCAAAGAAGGACAGTGAAAAACACGAAACAATCTCATTATTCAACCACGGCAGTTAGGAAGCAGAAGCACAGCAGAGGGTCAGGAACAAGCACCTTCGAGTGAGAAGCAGAAAAGTTATTTAAAAAGGACATATCATATAAAGCAAAGGTCCAAGGTGGAGAGCAGAAGATAATGAATAAATAAGTGATGGAAATGAACATAGGAGAGGAGGTTCTAGTAGGTTTTTCCATCAAGAAGTTTCTTAGCTGAGGGGATGGATTCACCCCGAGCCGCACGGGAGGACATTGTGCTAGCCGCTTACTATGATACATAACAGGTCACTAGAAACAGAGGAGCTACTAAAGAGCTGGAAGAGGCCAGTCTAGTGTCAGTATACAAAAACGTAAACAGACCGAAGACATTAAACTACAGGCCAGTATTATAAACAAAAATCATGACACGTAGGCAAGAAGATCACGCTTTGAGAAATGTCTTAACAATAGCCTGGATTTAAGAGTGCCAGATCCTGCCTTACGACAGGATCTTATCTTATTAACTTATCACCGAGCAACTGAGATCAAACATAATGTAGAATGGTGGGCAGTTTGTGGATTTTTTAGACTGACAGCAAGCTTTCGAAACAGTTTCCGACACTGAATACTAGAATACAAATGGAGAAAAAGGCAGAAGTGACAATGCAAAGTTATGCAATGGATTAAGGAGTACCTCTGC